AGTGTTTTATTATTTATAACTCATTTAAGTACTAAAACAAAAGTAGGATCTACATTTTTCTTTTTTAAAAGAAACTTGAAATAATAAAAAATAAAACAATTGGTAGTTTTATATAATTATTTTTTTCTGCAATTTTCTAAACTTATTGAAACCACTTGAACTTGACTGTAAGCAATAAGGCAAATATGGTGTCAGAAGTTATTAGGAATATAAAACAAATACATTCTGCAGTGTTTTTCAATATGTCATAATACTATGGCGCAGAAAGAACTGAACAAAGTACAGCATGAGTTTAACTATGAGAAAAATGAAATGTTAAAATGTTTAAGCTTGTTGATCACCAAATCTATTTCTAGATACTATTCTTATCTTGTGTTTTACTGGAGAGTTATTAAGCTATTTAAAGAAAAATACAAATGTTATAAAATAATATCAGCCCATTAGGAATTCTTCTGTTTATTAAAACAGAGAGGAAAAAAAAATCATGAAAAACCCAGCCATTCTTAGAAAAAAACATTTTGAGAATTTTTTTAAAGTCTTTGATCATTAATTGTTTTTAAGGATGAGTGAATTTAATATTTTGGTAGCTCAAAGGCTATTTTTATGTGAAGGGTCAACGTTCACGCAGACGGACCTTAATTTTCACACATGCCAATTATCCCTGGAGCTCAGGACCAATTAACTGCTGAACTTGTGCCCTGATACATACCTGCACTAATCAATCAATTACCTAATTACATGAATATTTATTATTAGCTTTGGAAATGCCAATTAGTGAGGTTAGCTCAAGAAATACTGCATTTTAAAGAGACACTTCAACCGCAACACAATGCAATCCTCTTTAATGAGAAACATCTTGTGACACCCATTTGCATAAACTTGAGGTGGTTGAACTCGATTAATTTTGGCATCTTAGAAAAAAATGTATTAAAAATATTTTTCTTTTTTTTTTTTTACTCTTGCCTTTTTGCACACATATGAAGACTGAGAGAGGATTTACTTTGAGGAGCATTTGGATAGCTGTCTCTTTAAAAAAGGGATGAATCAGGAAAAGAAGAAAGTAAACACCAAGGAAAATTTTCTTTTGTCTTATAAAGGGACTAATAAGAAAAAAATAATCTCAGATAGCTTATTATTAGGAACCAAAAAAACACATTTCAGACAGCTTCATAATTCCATAAACTGGTGCAGTTGGGAGTTCTGATGCCAGCTTAACCTTTCCCCTGTGAAAGTTGKTTTTTTTTTCTTTTTCTCTTTGGGTCTACAGAAGTAAATCCTTAAAACTCTCTTTCTCCTGTTCTGTCACACACAAACCAAAGCCCACCAGGTACGCCTTTCTGTCACCCAATCTCCCCTAAACAGTACACCTCACTGYTCAGGCCTGCTCCCACCAAAGCTGCAATTATAAGTGCTGCCTAAAATGCCTCGGGCGCTCACCATCTCATTCAATTCTTTACTTTCTAATTACTACTGCCCTGGGACAGGTGAGAAGTCAGCGCTGATATGATCTGCTCTTTTTACTTGTAGCCAAAACACACGTACACATCCTCGCATAGACATCTACAGTGTAGCGGCCGAGACACACACTTAAAAGGCACCTGAGGTGATCTGCTGTTCTAATTATAATCTTTCAAAAAATGTAGGGAATTYGCTTTTGGACAAAGTTGTGTTTAGATTAGAGAGCTTGGTAGGGGAACAGAGTTAGAGGGTGACTAAAGTCTTAAGAGTTGAGTGTTTTCTTTAAAACACACATTTGTTTTGGAAGGTTAGATTGGCAATATAATCAATTATTGTTAAATGCTAGGTTAAATATTTTATGGCCTTACATGTGATAAAGATTTTCAAAATTGTTGTTTTTGGCAAGTAAATTATAGAACAAAAAATATCTTGAAACCCTGGATAMTAACATCGCTCCACATTTGATGGGCACCTTACAAAGTGTATTTTTTATTATCAAAATGAGCTTTATCAAAGCCATAAAAATGAGAAATGGCTGCAGCGACTTAAGTACAGAAGATAAATGGCCTAGCAAGTGCATTCCAYACGGGGTTATTTGAGCAGTGTTGAAAGATATGCTAAATATCCCCAACACGTTACTCAGCTCTGCAGGTCATCAGTCAGCCATGGCCCCTTTTACAATTGATTGCTTCCAAAGATGACAACAAGCACTTAACAGCACACAAACAGTGTGTATATAATGATTCATCTCTGAGAATAGTTAAGGAATAAAAAGAACTGCTTGTAGTTGTAATCATCATTTATCAATGACACAATCAAAAAGGATCCAAACTGCACTATCAAAGCAGATACAGACAGGGGTCTTAATATCATGTACCTGAGAGAGGAAAAGAGAAAACTTTCTTTTCAATCTTTACTGTTTTACAGTAATCTGATCTCCCTGTCTTTAGGCAAAATGAGAGAAGGTGTCACCACATTAACCTCTCATCAGCGCTGAAGCAGTTACAAACTGTGAATGAGAGACACCAGATTTTAATCTTCACTTCACAGGCTACCAGTGGTGGGCAGCGTTAATCCAAAAATTAGCTCCGCAATTTCTATAGCGCTTATGAAAATATTTAGGTCCGCAAATTCAAAAGCACTTATGCCATAGAAAAACTAGCGTTAGCTAATTAAGTAATCTCAATTTCCCCACGTCTCCTCCCTCTGTGCTTCTTATTCATCTTCAAATTGTTTTCTGCTGTAATACGTTTACCACTGGCACAAGTCTTAACATCACTGCTGATTAATGATGAGAGCTTTACTTTTATCATCACTCCTTTTTTCTTTAGTTACAGCACTTGTTCTCACTGCTATCTTTCATCTATCCAAATTATGTTCTTTCTAACCTGATACACAATCTGACCAAAATGGAAGCTTGTCAGGAAGTCAAAAAAAGTGGGAAGAGAAGAAGTCGAGAATTAAAGTAGCATCTAAATGCTAGCTAAGACACTGAGAGAAGAGAGAAACTCACTAACCAAAGGCAGCAACTTTGATGAGGATAGCATGTAGATTAGATGATATAATCTCAGAGAGAAGTGTCTCTTGGTCTCGACGCCACAGGTAAGCCAAGGGCTGCAAACCAAGCCGTGTACATCTGTAGAGCAGGTGAAAGAAATGCAGAGATTAATACTCAATATTTTTACAACAATGAAAACAATTCTGAAACACCTTCAACATTTTAGCTGAGTAATTTCTCCATTTATAGGTAACACTGATATACAAGTAAGCCCACAGCATCTTCCATCTGCCACTGGATCCAATGGCCTTGTTCAAGAAGAAGACACAAAAAAAGACAGTCATTTGAAAAAGAAATACATACTGTACTAC